TTACAATCTGAGCTGATCAGGCTTATGCCCTTTTCTCTAGGGCACATAGTTATCCAAAACTTGATCGAAGCATGACATTCACTGTGTGAGAAAATCACATTTAAGCCCTAACCAGATGGGATTAAATTTACATGGGGTCCTGGGGTAATTTCATGTTTTACAGGTGCTCCTCTATTACTATTACCGTGCCATTCGGCCATGTCTGTGTTTTTTTTTTTTTCTGTCCTCCTTATTACAGGTTGAATTACCTACTGTTTTTTTTCCCCCCCATCTGATAATTTTAGTCCCATCCGGATGAAAAAGATTTTCTATGCAGATGTCACCGTGCTTTAGAAACAAAGATGGTTGACTGCTGCTGCTTGCCATATTTAGTCTCGTAGTGCATGTATCGATGACCTTCCTGCCGATATGACACTTCACGAGTCATGATACAAAAAGTGGACGTTTCTTGTATACTTTGATTATTGTTTTATTGTGGCCAAACTGTTTTTGCCACCACATTTATTAAACTGACTCCTTACACAAAATGTTGTTTGCAGGCAGACAGAGGGTTAAAGAGCAAGGTTAAAAAGTAAATAAAAACAATTTTACCATTTCATCATTGTGGTAAAATGCAATCACGATTTCTTAAAGTTGAGGTCTCAAGGTATGCTATATGCACAAAAACCCAAATTGTACAAAATTTTAAGTCTATTTTGTCTGTTTGCCAGGTTTCAGCCACAGTGTCAACCGATGGGTTTTCCCAGACCACCAAAGACACAGTAAATAAGAAGCCTGGGATTTGCCCTTCCCAATTATTTGCTGAAACATTTTAATGAAGAACCTTGGTTACCTAAGAAATATAAAACCCAGCTAAATACCAATGACATGAAAACATACAAAGGGAATGAAGAAACACACAAACATTAAAGTTTATGATAAAAAAAAAAAAATCATACGACAATATAATAATTTGTTTAACAGTGACAACTTCCCCTTTCCGTGGTTGATGAGATACAAATCCATGGTTATAGCATTATTGTTATATTGACCTTTAGTGCCTGTTAAATGCCGTAGTAGTCATACAGCTCATGTATTTCATACAGGATTATCATTACCTATAGTGCAGTTGGAAGTAATTTTCCTGCGCTTTGGATTATGGCGTAGCAGCTCCAGCTCTCGCTTGGTGGGCTCCCACGTTGAATACTTTTCCCCTACACCTGGAGACATGAAACACACAAGCAAACAATCCACATCTGCCTTTGTGTATTCATATACTGAAAGTATGTCTGTATTATATATTATAAACATTCAATTTTGTGGACATCTGACCATCACACTTATATGTGCCTTTTCAACATCCCATTCCCCTTTGCTGTTATAACAACCTCCACTCTTTTGGGAAGGCCTTCTGATAGATTTTGGAGCATGGCTATGGGGATTTGCCCATTTAGCCACAAGAGCATTAGTGAAGTCAGGCACTGATGTCGGACGAGAAAGCCCAGCATGCAGTCAGCACTCCAGTTCGTCCAACACAAAGGTGTTCAGTGGGGTTGAGGTCAGGGCTCTGTGCAAGCCACTGGAGTTCTTCTACACAATCTTTGGCAAACCCTATCTTCAGGGACCTCGCTCTGAGCACAGGGGCACTGTCATGCTAGAACACGGGACATTCAAGCCATTCAAGGCAATTGCGAGCTTTGTGCCAACAGTTTGGGAAATGCCCACATACGGGTGTGACGGTCAGGTGTCCACAAACATTTGGCCACATAGTGTATGTTTTGTAGAAGTTGAATGTTTTTAGACTGATCTGCCAAGTCAAAGTAGACTTTTTACTAGAATTTGTCCTATGGGGGGAAAAGAAAAAGTGGTGAGAGCAGAAAGAATCCTGCTCGTGAATTAAACACCAACCTTGAAGTTTCCAGGCCTTCCTCTGTTCTTCTTTGGCGATCTGTTCCATGTCTTTGTCGTATATGTAGTCTTGACAAACGAAGCAGTATATTCTACCATATAACAAGTCAATAGCTATAGCAGAGAGGAAACAATTATAAATTCACATTCAGCTGAAAAATACCAGGATGTGCATGTACCAAAAATCCTAGAAAGCTCTCAAGAAAAGGATTAAAATTGTGCCTATCGCATCTAAGGAAGATAAGGAAAAAGACAACTGACATACAGAATTTATTTATAAAGTAAGATTATAAAATTATAAATAGTGGCTGATTTACTATTTACCTATTACAGTTAAAGCTAAGCAGGTAAAACACAATGGTCTAGGTTATGCTGAGTTACAGTACTGTATGACAAGGGCTTAAATACAAAGGCTATCAAGGGGCAAAAACAGGTGAGTATTCATGTGACACTAAGGAGCCAACCAATGACAAGACATGTGAAGAGAGACGAGACATGAACCAAAACAAAACATAAGTGGCAACGTAAACAAACATTAGACGAGACGGAAATACTGTAGGTGGCGCGAGGGGGAAATAGTGATATATTGCTAAGTAATAACTTCGTCATAAGGCTGTACTTACAGAAGTCTATTTTTCAAACCTGACAGAAGGCAGGCACCAGAGAGACAAAAAATTTAACTAGACTGTACCAGTTCTGACCCTAAATTCCTTCAAAGTATGAAACGATCTTTAAATAAATTACAAATGGAACAAAACTAGAATTACAAAACTCCTAAAACTCTTGGTCAAAAGGTTAAAAATGTTACCCTATTTCACTCATGTACTTTTCCACTACAGGTTTAATACTCCACCTACATGGCATTCAAATATGCAGACCAGGTATAATGTGTGCTATTTCAGGCCAACCATCGGCCTGATGGTGGCGCTATCACGCAAGCATTTACATTTTGTTCCATATCTTGAGAACCGTAAATTACACACTCAGTCCTTTTTTCCCCCTCTTATTCCTTGGGTTCTGCTGAATTTAGCTTGACATCACCCAGTAATTTTGCCATGATGGATTTTTTTTTTTTTGGGTAATTTGCATAAAATATGCAAACTAGTCATATTTTTGACCAAAAAAAAAAAAAAAAAGACCATCGAGCTGAAATTTGGTATGATGCACCATTATACTCAACTGTAATTGGAATTTTGATGATGACCTAATCATTTAAAAAACATGGCTGCCATCAGCCAGTCAGATTTCAGGAGGCATGTGACAGGGTTAACAATGAGCTATCGTCACAAACCTGGAACGTTTGGTTCGAGTACGTTACCCGCTACAATCTCACTCAAATTGGCCATGTTTTTGCTTATAAAATGAGCATATCTCTTGGAAAATAAGAGCCACAATGAAAACTCTTGTTAGTGCTAAAAAGGGGCAGAGTTAACTTGAAACAGCTATTTCTCAGAAACCGAGAGTTCGATCGAGCTGAAATTTGGTGTGCTGCATCAATGTGGATTTTAATCACCACCGAATTACTTCAAAAACTTTGCCTTCTTCAGTCAGTCAGCTTCCAGCAGGAATTTCACAAAAATAGCACTGAGCTATTGTCACAAATCTTCATAAATATGTTCATGTTTAGTCTCTTTATTGTTCTTTGCCAAG